AACAGTACGCCTGCCTCAAGGCAGAGGGCGCTAGTGAGCCCACAGATTCTTGTGCTACCTACAATCTTCTTCATGCTTGTTTATATTATTTCCTTTGCAATCCGCCTTATCAAAATGGAAGATTACATTTCCAAGCTGAGAAAATTTGCAAATCTGGACTTTCAGTCAAAACATTTTTGACAGTCTGGACATTTTGTCCAGAAGGATCTTCTTTATTGAAAACATTTGTTTTAATATTGGATTCGAATGGTAAAAGGGTTTGTAATACGGTATATACCAGCTGACAAATGGATTTCGTGTACAAGTAAAGGTAAGACCATAAACTTTTATTATTTCTAGTTAGAAATAAGCTCAATTGGAATAAATTTTAACCTCAAATTAAATATGGGTCATGTTTGTGTGAAGAATGCTGATATGAGATATAAAACATAACGCATTGTCTGTTAACAGACAATTTGTATTTGTAAATCTGACTGTAAAAGAGTTAGTGCCTCACCAGCTGTCAACCTCGCCGCACGTCACTGTCTCTATCAACTAATGTACTCGCTAATATTCCAGTGAATCAGTCAGTCACCTGTTTAGTCAGTAAACTGTCAAAGCATAAGAACAAATGCCAGTCATAAATAAAATGGAAAGTAAATGAGAAAATGTTATTTTACAGTTCATTTCAATTTAACAACTTTTTTATTTTAGCATAATCCACTAATATCAAATCTGTTTTCCAGTAAGGTCCAGTTACATGCTGTATATTATAAATCAACATTAAAGCAATACCACTATTTAAACAGATCAGTTCATTTTAGACCCTGAAATAACTTTTAGTTGATAAATGACTCAAACTAATAATATGTTTCAATTTAATTTTCCTATATTCATTCAACACTATGTATGAATGTTTCCATGAATTTTTTAAAATGTATTTATTTCTGACTTTCCATTTACATAATGTGTGTGTGTGCATGTGAGCTGCCCACTGTTACCAGAAATGAGTGTGATGTCTGCCCCTGTTAGAGCTAATGCAGTTCAATGGCAGTTTATTATCTGTCAGTACGAGTGTGGGAGTGGAAACGCTGCGAGGAGGCAAATTGTGCTGTAACCACAACAACAAAACACTGATCAACAACTTTACAGGTTTTCCACAGGAAATCTGTCAGTGAATAAGTGAAATGAGGCCATGGAAAAACACATGGAAATTTAAAATGTTTTGAAGGTTTTAAGACTCAGCATCAGCGTGTGAAGACTAGAGACTGTTAATGGAGGAGGAGGAAGAAGAAGAAGAAGAAGAGGAGGAGGATGAGAAAGAGGTAGGACAAGGAAGATGTGCATGAAGAAGAAAAGGAGAAAGAGGAGCAGGATGATGAGGTAGAGGAGTATGATGATGAGGAACAGCAGGAAGAGTAGAATGAAGAGGAAAGGGAAGCAGAGGTGGAGCAAGATGAGTAGCTGCCAGTAGGTGAGGGTTGAGAGGTGCAGAATGAAGACAAGCTGGACCAGGAGGTGAAGAAAGAAGGAAAAGGAAGATGACAATGAGAAGGATGAATAGAAGACAGAGCAGAGTGAGAAAAGGAAGATGACAAAGACAAGCAGGAGGAGGAGCAGGATAAAGAAGATGAAGGGCAAGGAGGAGGAGGAGGAGGCATAGAGGATGAAGGAAGGAAGATGAGTATAGAGGAAGAAAACGCAAAGGGGCAGGGTTTACAGGCGAGGTCACAGGGTCAGACTGCAGTTTGTTTACCAGCTGTATTTGGATGAGCGGTAGTAGGCTAATAAAGCTGGACTATATGCTATTCCAGACTTTGGCAGTTAACCGGTTAAAGTAGACTAGGCCAGTTATGATATGTCCAGAGATTCAGAGATCTAATAACCCAGAACTTGCCTGGGGATCATCATGTTTTTAGGTTTTGTTTAGTATCAGAGACATCCATGGGTAAATGTCAAATATAGGCTAAAAATGAGTCAAGTAGGAGACGGTGTAAATCACTGAATCCATGGTAACATTGTTTCTGTGTTTTTGTAGTGTGTGTATATGTATGTGTAGGCCTGTATACCTATGCACAAAAGGTGGATAAAAAAGCTCCTGAGTGGAAGTTGAAAACTGGGCGGGTTCTTACTTTTCTGTCAGTCAAATCTGGCAACACTGGCTACAGGTGTGTCAGAAGTAAAGCCCACATAGTGATAAGATGGCCATCATGAAATGATTCGTTATTTCTGTGACCACAGTTACAGGCTAGTCCTGGATGTGAGTTAGTTATAATTTCCAGAAAGTAAATGCTTGTCTTTGTCAGCACAGACTCAAGCTGGGTGAACAATTTGTGATGCTAACAGTGATTAGCTCTATGTGTGACCTCAGCTGTCTGTATGTTATAGTTCCAATTTGGATTGTTTCAGCCTCCGGCATGTGACCTCTCCATACCTCACACACTTGCCCCAGATGGTGTTTCATCAGCTGGTGAGTACTAGTGAACATTACATGTGCATTTTACAGGTTTTTGGTAGCTTGCCCTTAATGGATGAAGCTGTTTAGGCCTCTGTCAGCTGAAAGCCGACCTATTTTTTTTTTTTGAAGGACAACTGTTTGGTTGTATCTACACAGTGTTTGTGTGCCTGGCACTTTTAATTTGATTGGCAAGATATTACTGGTCACATTTAAGACCAGTGTGACCATGTGAAAGGAAAGGTAGTGGTGAAGCTGCTGCTGCTCCCCTCAGCTTTATGGAGTTTTACACTCATTTCTGGCTCATTGTTTAGTTGTGTGAGACACAACCTTACTGCTCTGTTTCACTGTCACCACTCTCATAACGTTTTACCTGTGGCAACTGTATTCAGAAAGATACTCGACAATCCACTGTACACTGTCTGCTCAGCAGCAAACAGCAGACAGACCTAGTCTGTGTAGCTGGTGAAGACAGTGGAGCCAGACGGATGTATTTCTCTCAGGGATTGGTGGAGACCACAAATAGAGCTAAAAACTTGAGTGCACTGCAATTACTGGGTGTGGAACTAGGTAACTGTACTAATAAGTTCATCATATCTGCTTAAAAATGGCAGTATGTCAGTATTTTCACAGTTTCTACTGAAAACAAGTGGACCATAAAAACATAGTTAACGCAGTTTTAAAGAAATAATCAGTAAGAACTCCAGAGGAAATTTCGATTCAGATTGATAACATTAACGTTGTTTTGGAGCTGCTTCTGCACAGCTTTGTTTTTTTTCTTGGAATCATTGTTTTGCTGGACAAGAAACTCCCTAGTTTGCAGTTGTCTTTCATGATGCAGCAGGATTTCCAGGCTAATGTGTTGTTCTTGTTGAACGTGTTAAACTTCACAAGCCTTCAGGGCCACAGGTACAGTCAGGCTGTGTGGTGGGGTGCTCTGTTTCTGATGATGAGGGATATGCATTTTATTTTATACCAATCATAGGGTTTAGTATGTAATCTCCACAAAGCTGTGTTCAGTAAAATCAGTTTGTTTCAGTCTCCTGCTGGCCATGTTCTGGCCTCACTATTCACATCTATGAACATTTTCTTACTGTATACAGCACCATATCTACTTAGGTTCAGCAACTGATTACCTTCAAACAAATCCCTTTGTCTCTATAACATCTTTATATGTCCTGTTTTGTCTGACCAACTGACTTTTTTGCTTTAAAAAATTAACTGAACAATTTATTATTGGTTATCAGCATAGTTAGTTGCCTGTTAATTTTCTGTCAGTTGACTGATTAGCCATTTCAGTTCAGTTGTAGAGTGAGCTAATGTGTACTAATTCACAGCTTCTAAACTCAAGGCTAGGCCTGTTTTTAGTCTGATTCCAATTGATCACTTCAGTCCCTGTAGCTTTCTGTGCTACTGGTGGAGCTTTATTCACTCTGGTTGTTGGACAAGTCCTGAATACCCACAGCAGCATGAAGGTCAGACCTCAGCAGGCGTCTATGGGAGACTGGGGGCCAGCCTATAGAAGATGATAAAGAGAAAATATGAGAGGAGACAGCTGGGGAGAATTACATTCAACCTCGAAGGATTTCATTAGCTGCCCCCTGATTGAATTATCTAATTGATGAATTGAATTAAAGAGGACCCACCTCTTCTGCCTGATCCGCATCTGGCTGATGTCCCTGGTGATACCAGTCCAGTCCTACAGCCACATCAGGCCAACAGGGAAAGTAGCTGATGCATATTCGGAGCATTATTTGTGTTTTGTAACCTGACATGTAGCCCATTCCTCCTGACAGAACTCATGTACCGAGTCAGGTTTGAAAGGCTGATTGATCAAATCCACTTTTTCAGTTCAGCCTACAAATTTTCTGTTGTATTAAGGTCAGAGCTCTGTGATACCCACTCCAGCATTTTTGCTTTGCTGGCCTTAAGCCGTTTTTGCTACCATTTTGGAGCCATGGTTCAGATCATTATCCTATTGAAAGATCCAGCATTAGCATCCTGGCTGATGTCTTCAGATTGTTTCAGAATATCTATAGAATTCTGCTTCATCATGATGCCGTTGATTTTAGGAAGTGCACCAGTCCTTCTTGGCAGCAAAACAACCCAAACAACATGATGCTTTTAAGACACTTCCAGCTGTTTAAAAAGACTGAATTTGATGTACTGTATGTAAACTTTTGAGTCATTAGAATTCTGATATTGTGAATTAAGTGAAACGAATCGTCTCTGATCAGCTGTGAGGAATTATTTCTGTTTTGGACAAACTAGACATTCTAATTGATTTGTAAAAAGATGTATGGTAACAAGACTTCTCCAGAGTGGCAATTTATTTTAGTTTTAATGTCTAAAGCACAAGTGTATGTAAACGTCAGACCTCAGGCCCTTGAACCAAAATCACAGCACACTTTGACGCATCGGTAAACTTTGGCTCACCAGCTAAGAGAATGGATATAACCTTGTATCATGGTTTACATTCCTATTGTGCAGGTACAGTAGTTAGTTCCAAACATCTTACAGAAATTGCCACAGTTCTTCAGTGAATTTAGTCTCTCATTGTCTCCTGTCTGTTCATGTAATCCCAGACTGACTTCATGATACTGAGATAAGGGCTTTGTTGGGGCCAGACCATCTTTTGCAGTACTCTCTGTTCTTCTTGTCTCTGAACATGGTTTCTTTATGAGCCTGGCGGTGTATTTTGGGCTTGGTGTTGTAAAGCAGAATAAATTCAGGACTGATCTGATGTTTCTCTGACAGTTTTGTGTGATAGATGGGAATTTAAACATCTAAAGTTCCTTCAGCTTTTGTACAATGCTGTGTTATCAGTGGGGCCCAACTGTGTTTGGTAGGCTACTTCATTAAGCCCACAGCTGGAGAACAGCAGCTGCTGGCAGGTTGATTTGGGACCATTACTGTCCACATCCAGCTACTTAAGCCTGACTTATGCTTCTGTGTTGAATTTACATTGTAGGCTATGCAAATGGCCTACACCATTTGTGAGTATTTATACTTGTGCGCTGGCATCTGCTTTGCCTTTCAGTTACGCTGCCAAAACACTAGCTGGCAGTGGGGTTTCTATGCCATTGTGCTGTTTAAAAATAAAAACATTTTTTAATGTGCCTCAAACTGCCTTTATATAAAACAAGAAACAAGCCTGTCTGATGTTCTCATGTTCCTCTGCTCTGAGCAGTATAGGCAAATGTTGCTGCTGCCATAACCCAGAAATGGATGCATTATTAAATGGTGCATGCTTTATGACACACAGCTTAGGTTTTGTTGATGTGTTGATAAACTTGTCATTTGTTTCATTGGTGGAAACTGCTCTAACCTACCCAAATCAGTTTTGGCCTAATTGTTAGACACAGAAAATACACAATAAAAGAATGATGTGAAGAAATTCCTAGCTTTACAGACTCACTGTTAACACTGTTATATTCTTTTTTTTTGTATAATGTGTGTGTGCGTGTGTAGAAGTGAATCATTTATTGCTTGCAAACCAATGATGGTAAGATGATGTCATGGGGTAGGACTGGATAAGTCTGACTTCTTCCTACTCCATTCAAGCATGTACTAGGTATAAGCACATTGATATTGGATTATGTGTAAAATTATGTGTGTTGACATATCAACTGTCTTTACATGCTGGAAAGAATAAATCAAATCAAATCAAACTGTGCCTAGTTGTATCTGTCAAGCTGGATCATCCAGTAACTGCTAGCTACAGTGTGTGTAAGCAAATGCATAGTGGTATCTCCCTGTCACTGTGTTCAGGGCAGGTCATGACTGAAATATGCAGTTTCTTCTCCAGAGGAACCGGTCTGTGTGGACACAGCTGGGCAGTGGTCCGGCTGCTCTGCAGTCAGATATCACCAGAGCTCATTAGGAGACTGTGGTTGCTCCTGCTTTTAGTGCTCTGTTTCCATGTGTTTATATGGAAAGACAGTTAAGATCTGATAGATATTTATTTTGGTGCCATCTGGTGCTCGTATTAAAAATGACACTGTGGTAGACAGTGAACATGTTGGACTCTTTATGGACAATGAACCAGTCACAACTGAGTTAAGTTAGGACTCACTGACAAGAGCAATATTTCTCTAGTTATCTGTAGGCTTTAGGCAACTTCAGGTCTACTACCTGAAGTGTTTTTGCCTAAAGCCAGTTGAGTGACAGAGTTTCACTTACTGATACAGTCTCTGTTAAGACTGCAAGTATGTGAAAGCTTATCTGAAAATATCTGACGCATGCCTAACTGTACTGCCAGTAGCTGCACTGATGTGCGGTGCAGTAGAAATTGTGGATTATGCATAGCTTTCAATCCCAAATGTCAGGTCTGGGACAGGACAGGTGAAGGTTGACAAAGACAAACAGTAGCAACACTTTAATGTCTTCAGTTTTTTTTTTTTAATGTAGCAACAGACAGTTTTAAGGCAAACACAGCAGACTGTCCCATCTTTTAGCAACACAAATAGTTGTTTTCTCATGGATGCAGTATAAAGACGTTCTCAGCTGTCAGATTACAGGACTAAAACTTAAGTTTATAGATATAATTCTTCTTCTTCTTTGCTGGTTTTCTGTCAAAGCTGACCTCTGGATTTCAGAAAGTGCAATTAAACAACCACAGAGTGCAAGTCATTAAAGTTTATCACAGTGTTGATGAAAGGATCCCCCGCCCAATACTACAGTAAAAGTCTCATTCATGTTGTCACGATGTTTGTGATTAGGCAGCTGGAGAACAGGAGATGAGCAACTGTGTTAAAAGGTATCTGGGTCTCCTAAAAGTCAAAGTGCCAAGAGGCCTGAAAACTGAAGAGGTGAACTACAACTCCCAAGGTGCAATTCAATGACAAACATCCAATCACAAGAGCTTCATATTCAGTTTAAAGCTAAAAATGATGCTGTTGAGAATGCGCATAATATAATTTGCAGCTTAAAACAGTTAATTTTTGGATTTTGGCTCAGTTCTGATTCATATATAAACTATGGTGCCACGTCCTGCTCGCAAATTTAGTGTAGCGCTACCACTCTGATCCCGATGACTGGCTTTTCCTCCATAGCAACAGCAAGCCGAGGCTCATGGGAACTGTGGTATTTAGAGTTGTACCGAACTATTAGGAAAAAACCCAGATTTCTCAGGGAAAAAAAAAAAAAAGGTTGAAATGGTTCAAACTGGAGCTCAAAACAAATCTTTACATTTGGGATTATTCTGCGTTATAATGACACTGAGGGTGTTTGAAAAGAAAATGCAAGATTGAGAAAAATGCATCTAGGCCCAGCAGCTCTCCATACTTCAGAGCCCTTAGTTCTCAAGTGTGAGAAGCTGCTGTTTGTCCCATTTCGGTTTCTTCAGTGTCCTTCAAGACAAAAACAGAGGAGACTTTAATCTCACTATCAGTTTGTTCTGACCATCAGTCATTTCAACTTGGAAAACAAAAGAACCTGGTTTCTCAGAAACAGTTTGGTGGGGCAGGTGTTCTGAAAGACTACAGTACCCCCGAGTATCAGCTGCTCTTCCTGTGTAGAAGAAACCTGAACAGTTTAATCACCGCAACTGGGAATAAAACTTGTTGCCATGGTTTCTGAATTCATCCCAAATCGAAGCAGAATCAGAAAGTGACCTGACACACTTCTGAATGTTTTAGTAGCTTTAATGACAGAATTCAAAGCTCTGTGATTTGATGATTCCAGCTGAAATGCACCCTGGGAGTTGTAGTTGACTTTGCTCCCTCTGCTTTATGTCAGCAGCCTTCTTGTAACTTTTGACTTTTGAAAATCAAAGAATCAGATTTTCTAACGCAGGTGTTCAGTGTTTGTTCTGATGATTCAACAAAGAAAATTTATGTCCACCTGAGACCTAAACATCATTTTGATGCAAGTAAGGGTCAGTAAGATTGAATATTTTTATTTATTTTTTTTAAATACAGCAAGATAATTTCAGCTGTATTGCTCCTTTATTTTAATTTATTTACTTATTGGAGGAGTTATGGCTATTTTTAAGCATGTGAAGTGAAGCTTATGTTATGTTTTCCTTCTTCTCTCTTGCCTGTGCCTGGATCCTTATCTTTTCTTGTTTTGTCTCCTTATATCTGTTTCTTCTATTCTCTATGATTTTTTTCTTCAACCAAACTCATTGTTCCCCTAGAGCAAGGGATTCCTTTTATGGTTAAAAGGGCACAGTGCAGCAGAGATGTGAAGTTCGGCAACTGTAGTGGCTGATGATTACACACCATAGAGCAAATCTTCCCTACATAAAGCTGACAACTTTTGATATCAAAAAGCAGCCAGTTTTGATAAGCTTCATATGCAGGTACAATATACAGTAGTGTCCACAGGTTGAAGTTAACATCGAGTTGTTACTCTGGTACATGAATGATTCTGTGATCTGTGATGCCCTCTTTAATCTTGTTCACCATACAGGCTCCACCTCAGCGTGTACAGGAAGTGTGGAGTGTAGCGAATATGTATGAGAGCTCGCACAAGCAGCAGCTCATAGGGGCAACACTAGCTGTATGTCTTAACCATACCCTAGTTGGGTTGTGCACACATTGCTGTTAAAAATCAAAGAATCAGATTTTCTAACGCAGGTGTTCAGTGTTTGTTCTGATGATTCAACAAAGAAAATTTATGTCCACCTGAGACCTAAACATCATTTTGATGCAAGTAAGGGTCAGTAAGATTGAATATTTTTTTTTTAATACAGCAAGATAATTTCAACTGTATTGCTCCATCATGTAGACAGTCACTCGCATCAAATTCTAGTGTAATGGAAGTTGTCCAGCATATGGCTTAATCATCATTGCCTTTAGCATCTGAGAGGATGAATTATAATGTTACTGGAAGATCTGACAACTTGTAAAGCTGTTAGCCCAAAGAAACCAACCCCTCTTTATAGACATTCAGCTTTTTTGTTTGTTTCTAAGTAAAATCTGGTGGAACCGCCAGTTGTCAGCTTTTGCCGTGAAAATAGTGTATTGTAAAGATATGCCACACTGCTTTGTTAAAGAGACAAATATAGAGTTTTAAACCCTCCACAATGATCTAGGAGGAAACTTTGGAGGGACTGCAAGAAACACCTGAAGCGTATCATTTAAGCTGCACCAACAGGAAAAACTAAAGTGTCTGTGTCCTTACAAAAGAATGAACATCTAAGACACTTCCCCCCTCTGCTCCCCTTCTTCCACTTCCTCACTGGCCCTGACCCTGTCCTTGCAGTGACCCCAGCAGGCCATTGGCTGTGGTGAAGAGGTTGATGGGTGACGATCCGTCTGTGATGAGGGTGGACTTCAACCCCAGAGCCTGGAGCAGCTTCACCTGGAGGACAAGACACACTGTAAGTTTCAGATTGTAACAAGCATTTCAAATTTGGGGTGCTGCATTTAGAAACATCATAACTGAGAAGTTGGCAAGAGGCATGGATAAAATCACGGCTGATAGCAAAACAGCTCTGAACTGAGATCCTGTATTTATCCAAATGAACCTGTGAGCTGATGTCAATCTTCTGTTTTCTATTGTAGCAAATTGAATTAGGGTCATTTTAACTGATTAATCATTTAGTCTATAAAATTAAAAAAATGGCCATCAGAGTCAAAGGTTAATCACCGTTGGACAATGCTGGAGCTTTGTGGCACAGATGAGTAAGCTAAACCAGGATCCACCTTTAGACATTATGGTGAGAATCATTTTTGTTTTTAGAAAAAACAACCTTTTCCCCCCCAAGTTTAACATTTTTGAAACTAAAACATCACTAGGCAGACATGGTGGTTTTAAATAAAGTTGGTCTGGTGTTTTCCTCAGCAACAGTCATGGTGCAGTACCTGCAGCTCAGGCCCAGCTCTGGCGATCTCCCTCAGCGTGTCACTGCCCAGACTCTCCACCAGCTGACTGAA